AAATGAGAACATCTGAAAAGTCTGGGTGTGGAAAAGCTAGGTAATTCCATGTAATCCAGAGACTGAAAACCACTCAATTACAATAGGCCTCCTGGCCTTGCTAACTGAATTGTTAATCCTAGTTGAAGTAGGCTTCTGTTTTGTTTTTCCTGGGCTGGTCCAGGGACTAGACTGTTGCTGTAATTAATATCAATTTTTATCATTCTTTGAGGAAGTATCAGTATCCCAAGTTCAGATTCCATTTCATCAGTGGGGGCAAATGTATAGCTCAGTATAGGACAAGTGTTAAGCATTAATGGAAGAGACTTGTATTATATTGATATTGTCCTTCCAATCTGGCAAACTTAAATTTCATTTAGAAAATGCCTCTCTTTCTTTTTTTTTTTTTTTGAGACTGAGTCTCGCTCTGTCGCCCAGGCTGGAGTGCAGTGGTGGGATCTCAGCTCACCTCAAGCTTTACCCGCCACCTGGGTTATGCCATTCTCCTGCCTCAGCCTCCCGAGTAGCTGGGACTACAGATGCCTGCCACGCCGCCGGGACAGTTTTGTTTTTTTTTTGTATTTTTAGTAGCGTGGGGTTTCATGGTGTTAGCCAGGATGGTCTCGGTCTCCTGACCTCGTGGTCTGCCGTCTCAGCCTCCCAACGTGCTGGGATTACAGGCTTGAGTCACTATGCCCGGCTGAAAAATGCCTCTATTTCTAATTTTACCTTGGTTTGATTTCTTTTACTATAGGATCACATAAATGATTTTCCTCTTTTCTAGACTTGCTTGTCAACTCCTACATTTTTGAAAGCTTCTGGTTAACTTCTAGTTACAGGTAAGTTCCGTTTTCTGTTTGGTTAACAGGCTGAGATTTTTTTTTCTTTTTCCTTTTTTTGAGACAAAGTCTCACTCTGTTACCCAGAGCTGGACTGCAATGTTGTGATCGGCTCACTGCAGCCTTCGCCTCCCAGGTTCAAGTGATTCTCATGCCTCGGCCTCCCAGCCTTCAGCTGGGATTACAGGCGTCTCCACCACGGCCAGCTAATTTTTTGATATTTTTAGTAGAGATGGGGTTTTATCATGTTTCCTAGGCTAGTTTCAAACTGCTGACCTCAGGTCATCCACCCAACTCAAGTGCTGAGATTACAGGTGTGAGCCACCACACCCCACCACCATTTCTCCCCATTTTATACAGGATAGTCTTTTTCAACTTCTAAGAGCTCTTTAAATAGTAAAAAGCCCTGCCATAATGCAGCTAAAAAACGAAGATATCAAATGTGTATTAACACGTTTTCTCAACATTAATGAAAAAGTATTTTCAATCAGTCTATATTTTTCACAGAAAGGACAAAATAAAAGATTCAGAAACAAACTGTATATACAGGAAGTACATATACCCTGAAGCTCCCAAATGATTGTCCAAGCAGTCACTTCCAAACCCTACTGCCCACCACCCAAAACACGAGGGAGAAAATAAGAATGTTGGCCTTTCCCAGTTTTCAATGATCAGGAGCAAAAAACGTACTCAAAAGCCCAGTTTAAAAAGAAATGTTTCTGCAGAGGCTTTACTGCACTGAGAGTTAGCCCCTTCTATTCTTCTAAACTCACTGATTTCTGCTTGTGTATCTTTAATCATTTCCCCATTCTGCTTTCCTTCAGGGTTTGATTGTCCTTTCTAAGAATGAGTTAGAGCTTAATTCATTTTCATTCTTTTCTTAATGACATAAGGATTTTAAGGCAATGAACATTCCTCTGAGCTCTCCTCTAGTGTAATACGTAACGATTGCGTATTACTATTTAGATATTCTGCAGTTTTAATTTCAAATCCTGTTTGACCTAAGGGCTGTTGCATGAATTGTAAAATTCCACCAATCAACATTTGTTTTCTGGTTTTGTTAGTAACTTATAGATTTAACTAAGATCAGAGAGAATGACTTCCTTTTCTACTCTTTAGTATTTGAGGTGTTCTTCACTGAAAAAGATTAACCTCCTGAATGTTCCAAAAGATAGGAAAGAGGAGGTAGCGGATGAGAGAGCTTAGAGTAGATAAAAGTTTAAATAGTTTATTATGGTTTTAATTCTAAGCATTCTAAAGAATTTCATTGGATTTTAAACTATGAATTACAAAGTGTTTAACTTCCAAATTCATGTAGCTTTTAGTTAATCTACTTCATTATTGACTACAACCTTAGTACTTCATATTTAAATCCTCATTATATAGTAGAGATAGCACAAATGTTTTTAATCTTCTGACTTACTTTACGGATTAATATACAATAAAGGTTTCTCCCACAGTCCACAGATGCTCGAGAAAGAATATAGAATATCTAACTATTGGGTACAGAGGTCTGTATTTGTCCGTATACCACGTCCGTTCACAGGTTATTCAAATCTATATATGGGCATTCTGTGTAACCTACTTATGTTAATGAGGGTATGTTGGAAATCTCCAAATACCATGGCAGACTTGTCAATTTCTCTCTGTGGTTCTATCAGTTTTTCTCTGTAGTTTGAGCTATTTTGATAGGTACATAAACTATGAAAATTGCTACATCTTCCTAATTAACAGTCATTTAGCATCAAGTTGTTACTAATGCTTTCTGTTTCAAATCTATTTGTTTGAAACTGAAGCTCAAGTCTCTTGTTTTAGTTAATGTGTACAGGCATATCTTTATCACTCTCTCTCCTTTATAAAAGCTTTCAATCTTTCACATCCTCATATTTTAAATATAGTGGATTAAAACAACTGGATATTGTTTATTACTTCCATCTGTCTAACTGGTAACTTTAGTCCATTTACATTCGTTGTGACTGATTTATGTGGACTTCCTTCATATCACCTGTAGAATTTCTATTTCTCTCACTTTCCAATGTAGTTTTAATATTTCGTCCTCGATTCCATTAAGACATATTTTGAACCTCATTCTGATCTCCCTCTCCCCACCAACCCACCAACTTCTATCCTATCATTTGTCCTCATGTCTTTCTGTGTAACATACGGACTTACTTTTTGGAGATAATTGTCTAACCAATTAATCCTTTCTTCTGGTGTCTAATCCACCTACTGAGTTTCTGATTTCAACAATTACATTTGTATTTCCTTATTTCATTTTCTTCTGAGACAGAGTCTCACTCTGTCACCCAGGCTGGACTGCAGTGGCACGAACCTGCAGCCTCGGCCTCCTGGGCTCAAAGGATCCTCCCACCTCAGCCTCCTGAGTAGCTGGGACTATAGGCAGGTTCCGCATACCCAGCTTTTTCTTTTTTTTGGTGGTGGTGGTGGGTATTGTTTGTCGAAATGAGTTCTCACCATGTTGCCCAGGCTTGTGCTCCAACTCCTGAGATGTGCCATCCTCCTTCTCAGCCTCTCAAAAAGTGCTGGGATTACAGTTGTGAGCCACCGCACCCAGCTATATATTTTATTTCTGTAAGTTCTGTTTCATCCATTTCCTTTCAGGTGTTCCTCATCTTTCCTGGTGGTCTCACTGCTCGCTCAGTTTTGTAGATCCATCTTTTTATATATATTAGATGTATTTCACATGTAACTATTTTCTCTAATTCTAATATTTGAAGTCTGTGTTCTGCATCTGATAATTCCAAAACCTGCAGTCTTTGGGAAACATATTATTCATTGTTTCTGACAATTCTGAAATATGTTGGGTTGACTACTTGAATACTTTATGATTTCACTGAATTAGTGGTTGCCTGGTTTTAGCTTTGGAAGTTAGAGATGCTTTCCTACAAATGTATCTGTGTCTGCTTCTGATGAGAGCTGTGGACACAACTAACACTGGCCCACTTTGCCACCATGCCTAATCCTGACATCCCGTTGGATTCTCTTGGAGAATGTCGGGATTACACAAGGACTCTCAAATTTGGCTCCACAACCTTGCTCATTTATACACAGAAGACCAGACTGCTTAGTATAGGTGGTGACTCCTTCCTCCTACCCTGGAAAAAACAAAAGCGGATCTCTCATCTGAATGTGATCACAGAAGATTAAACTCTGAAAGGTGAATAACTGGAGGCTGTGGGCAGCAGGGAAAGACAGGTGTCTTTCCTGACCATAGAAATAGGTCAGAAGCTCCCCTAAAGGCTGTGTGCTCCAGGATTTCACTATTTAGCTCAATTACCAGTCCCTCCATAAGAGTGAACAGAAGCTTCTCAGGGCGCCATGTTGTCTTTAAACCACAAATTCTTGCTAAAAGTCATGGTCATGGTAAAAAAGCTATGGCTTTGGAAGACTTTCTTGGGAATGTCTAAATTAAAGTTACAGCCTGTGTTTCATGTTCACTAAGCAGGAAACCAACCCCTCACCAACATCATTCTGCCCCATGGCTTGCTCTCAGCTCCTCTTGGTTGGGCCTTGGGCTACCGAACTGTCTGGTTTAATCCTTGTTCTGCCACCTGTGACCCTGGACTAGTTACCTACCTTCAGTTACCTCATCTACAAGTGCAGATAGCCAGTAACACCCTCTTTTTAAGTTATTAAGAGGATCGAAAGAGTTAATAAAAGTAACAAATAAAAAGGACTTGGTAAGAATAGGCACAGAGGGGAAAAAAGGAAAAATAAATCAATAAATGAATAAAGAAATAATTAAAAAGACTAGTGCCTAGCACAGAAAAGTTCATCGGGAATTAATTCTTTTTTTTTTTTTTTTTTTTTTTGAGACGGAGTCTCGCTCTGTCGCCCAGGCTGGAGTGCAGTGGCGATCTCAGCTCTGCGGCTCGCGCCCGGGTTCACCATTCTCCTGCCTCAGCCTCCCGAGTAGCTGGGACTACAGGCGCCACCACCGCGCCCGGCTAGTTTTTGTATTTTTAGTAGAGACGGGGTTTCACCATGTTAGCCAGGATGGTCTCGATCTCCTGACCTCGTGATCCGCCCCGTCTCGGCCTCCCAAAGTGCTAGGATTACAGGCTTGAGCCACCGCGCGGCGGTGTTCTATAACATGAACTCAATTTTGCAAAACTTCCAGAGTACATATTTAACACTAGGGTATACATAGTGATAATAAATTTACAACTGTAGCGTGTTTGCCTACAGTAAATATAACAAAGACTAAACAAGCAGATACTAAATCATTAAGTGATTATCAGTTAGTATCTTTAATTTTCTTATACTTCTATATTTTCTATAGATCATCTTTATAACACGAAGAAAACAAACCGTAAAATGAAATAGATTCTCCCAAAAGAATTAAGTCAAGACAGAAAGAAGGCTCACAAATATAAATATCTCTTATGGTTTCTAAAATTCTTAATAACATACCTTCTTTGCTCCAAGCTGCCTCTGGCTTTGCCTTTGAGTCACGTGGCATTTCTTTGCTGCGATGACCGGTTCTTGAGTGAGCACTGCTTCAGCCCTACAGGAAGAACAAAACGATCTCTGGAACACAGCAGCATTCCTGATTCCCAGTTGAGAAAGGCCTAACAAGATGGCATGTACTTCAACAGCAGCAGATCAGTGTTAAAAAGTCTGGAGGCAAGGGCAAAGAGTAAATTGGACCATTTCCAAAATCTCACAAAAAACAACAAACTGGCGTTCTAAGTGCCCAATGTGAGCAAATTAGAACTTTAAATAAGGTAAGCTCTCAATGCCGATCTAGCATAGATTCAGCACAAGTACAATCTCATTTTACTGGTTGACCTTTTCATTCTTGAAAAGTAGAAAGGTAAGAAAATAAAAAAAAAATAAAAATAAAAACACCAAAATTTCTTTAAGAGAACCTTCTACTGACAACCTTCTTCCATAATAGAAACACTCTATTGAGGTGAAAATTGAATATTATAGAAAATAATCACCTGTTTTTGTGAGAAGTTCCATACATAATGCTCCTCCACCCAATACATACCTTGAAAAGAAAAGGAAACAAAAAGCCTCAAATATTATTCCTGCTTGAACAGTTTTCTACGTGCCATTACTAAGAAAGCATGCACACAGTAAAGATGAGAAAGAGAACATGCAAGCGTGAGCATACTGATGAGGATATAGGATTAAGGGCAATTTAAAAATTCTAATGTTTCTTTGTCATGCACTTGCTCTGAAATTCTAGTCGAATTGTTTGAAATGGCTCTTAGAACAGAATACTTTGAAATATTTATGGTGTCAAAAATGAAGAACTTAGCCATAAATATTCCAAGCAAGGAGCAGAAAGAACCCGTTTCCTTAAATAGCATTTGAGTATTCTTTACAACTGCAACTTTCTCTCTCTCATCCTGTGATGGCCAAGTTTTTCCTCTGACAATGGCACTGACCTCACCTATTCAATACATGAGACATCTGCATTGCTTCATGGTTGGAATTGTTTTCTCCATTCTTTTGTGAGAATCAAATGGTTCAGACCATGTAGCTCCTCTCTGGGACTCCTCATGTCCTTTCAGGTCACAGTCTATTCTCTGAACCAAACATAACTTCTGGGGAGGTACCAAATCTCCCATTACAGAAACTTATTTAGATCAATATGTTTTGTCCTTTTAACTCTTTCTCAAATAAAATCATTTTCATTTCTCCTTTAATGTTATTTTATATTTCAAAATACACAGATAGCATGCCTAAGAAAATCAACGCAATGACAGTTTTAGAACACAAACTGTGGTAATTTTAGAAACCCCAAAAGCTAAGACCACTGATTAGGTCTGTGTGGACACAAGTCCTCCACAACCTGTTCTGCCCTCTGGGCTCTCCCCACACATTTCCCTTGCCTGACATTCCTTCTGCTTCCTACCATTCCAAACTCTGTATTTCTCCCCAAAGAACCTGCCAAGAGCACTTTCAACCTGCACATCTTCCATTCCAGCTAACCAAAGGCATCCTTCGTTGACTAAACCAAATTATTTTGCAGAGAAAGCCATCTAAAAACTTCTACTGTAGACCATTCACTTTCATAATTGTTATGATGACATTATTCAATAATAAAATGAGGGCAAGAATTCTCTTCACTCCCTTATCTGGAAAAATCAACCAGTGTCTTTTCCACTTGCTTTCCCCAAACTCTGGGACTTTTGAAGTAAGAGTTTAATGGAAAAGGAAAGAAAATCTACAAGATAAACTCTCCAAAACATTAAACTCAGGTAAAGTATCATGGGATTAAAAATGTTTATTCTTTGTGTATTTCATTTCTGAAACATAGAAATCTATCTCCCACTGCATAAATCTGCCACTGGACTAAAGAGTATTGTATAGAATGTGCACTCACTGATTTAACAGAATTAGAACATCCAGCCCTCACTGAGATTTTGCTTCCACAACCACTCAAGTCTAGTCAGGGGAGTTAATGAGTTAACACACTTGATCTTCTGGCCCCAACTGACAATGAAACAAGACTTATTTAGGAAAAGGAAGTATACAGTAGACATTGTTACCCATTACCAACCACCACCACCTTTTTCCTTTAAAAGCACTCCTCTTCCTTTAAAAAGTTGCAGAGTCTCAGAAAGTGGGAAGAAAGGAGAAGTTTTGCATTGTCTGGTCAAAAAAGCATCTGTACAACCACATAATATCTATGCAAAGGTTTGTTGAAATCTAAGCACAAGAAAAAGAAGTAGTTCTAGCACCTCCACCAAAAGTAAGGTCAGTAAACTTTTCTTAACACACAGTGTCAGCAGCAGTGACACGGGAAAGTGGTCGACTCTACTACTGTATTAAATTACCTTCATTTTGTCAATATGTATTCCACATTCTTACTGCTCTTTGTCTCCAAAGGGTTCCTGCTGAATATTGAGACAGTTCAAGAACACTAGGAGAAAAAAAAATTCTTAATAATCCAAGTAGTAAGAGTCATCTAAGATAATATGCCACATATACAGACACAGTCGTATTTTCAACTATAAAAAGTTCAGTTGTCAAAGTTGTGAAGTAAACACTATCTAAGCTTAGCCTCTTCCAGGCATTTGATTTATAATGCTGTAAAGAAAAGTCAGTCACAAAATGCCACCTTTTGTATGATTCTATTTATATGAAATGTCCAGGACAGGCAAATCTACAGAGATAGAAAAATTAGATCACAAGTTGCCAGGATGAAGGATGGGGGGAACAGATGCGTGACTACTGATGGATACGGAGTTTCTTTTAGGGAGATGAAAATGTTCTGAAGTGGGAGTGGTAATGGTTGCATAACTCTGAATATACTAAAAACCACTGAACTGTACACTTGAAGGGTGAGGCTTACATAAAACTTGTACCACAATAAAGCTGTCAGTTGGGAAAACGTTTGGCTATGTCAAGAAATACAGAAATAGGGTCAGAGCTAGAAGATATGGGATATAAAATACGAACAAAACTGCTGAATAATCTATCGAATCACACAATGCTTAAATTTTACCCTGACTAAAATCACAAGCTTTGTGTTTTGTTGGTGTTTCACATTTTTACTCTTCCTAAGTCAGCCAATAGTTCCTCTTCCTCATAATAGTGGACTACAAAGACCAAGCCATTTTGATTCTGCTGCCAATAGGCTTTCACATTTCATTCCTCCTTCCATCCCCATGACTACCAAACCAACGTAGGTTCTCCTCACTTCACTCTAAGACAACAGCGTGAGCCTCAACTACTGTCACACTCTTCAAGGCTCTGTGAGGACAATGTGTCTCATATTCTCTTCTGCTGCCACCAGATTTATTCTAAGACAGTTTCTTTACTGTTACTCCCCTGTTTCTCAGCAGTTACATAGATAGATGGAGCATAGTTGACCTACCAGAAAAAAAGAAAAAAAAAAAAAAAAAGATCTGTCACCAACCCACAGAACTGTTTGAGTACAAGATATTGCGCCAGTACTATTTCCTACAAACCGACTTGAGATCCTATCCTCCTTGTGTTATAGCTTCAACTGGTCTCCTACCTCTGAATCTCTCATTCTCTTTCCTAGACACCTGATTGTGTTAACCTCTCACCTACGTTATGTTTTCCTTCAACTTCCACCAGCTGACCAAACCCCACTCACATTTCGTTTGCCCAGCTGAGATCAACCTACTTCATGAAAGTAACTCTTTGCAGCTTTAAACCTCAAAGAGATTACGTCACGCTTAACTTTTCTTTTTCTTTCTTTTTACATGGAGTTTATCTTTGTCATCGGCTGCAGTGTGGTGGTGCAATCTCGACTCACTGCAATCTCTGTCTCCTGATTGAAGTGATTCTCCTGCCCCAGCCTCCTGAGTAGCTGGGATTACAGTTATGTGCCACCACATCTGGCTAATTTTTGTATTTTTGATGGAGATGGGTTTTTGCATCTTGGCCAGGCTGGTCTCAAACTCCTTACCTCAAGTGATCTGCCCACCTCGGTCTCCCAAAGTGCTGGGATTACAGGCGTGAGCCACCGTGCCAGGTCCATGGTTAGCATTTGGTAGTCAATGGATTACTTAGGAGTACTTAGTACTTTAATCTCCTCTTATATAGCTGGCATTTGGTATAATGAAAAACACTTTGCTACAAATCAGAAGATTTATTTGGGAGGTCACAAGCTGACTTAGTATTCAAATTTTTCATCCAAATAATAAGAACCATAACATACTGTGGCAAGGTAATGAAAAACTATGGAATGGATTTTGAAATTAAAATGGCATGATTCATAACTTCAAGTATTTGTCTTGATTCTAGGTGGTATACTAAGAACAACAAACTTACATTCTTGGGATTCTTACAACAAAATGTTGAAAAGCTATACTGGGTCATATATAATCACATTTGAAAATGTTTTCATACATTTATTTCTGAATTTGCAGATTTTTGTCCAAATCTTTTGTTTGATCACTTTTTTCCCTCTCCAAATGAGATTCTGTACATAAAATGACCAATCTTCCTTTTCCCGTGCTTATGGGAATACTGAGTCAACATATACAATTTTATAAACCGTCACATAAAACTAAAGCACAATACTTATGTCTTTCTCCCCAATCAGTAGGCTTCATTAAAAAGACATTCTGACATTCAACTATGAAAAAACAAAAGAACATGGCTTGGTGGCTTAGAAGTAAGAGGCTGGTGTGGTGATCAAGAGACACAAGGTTAAACATTTAGTATTTTTCAGCCTTTGTGTTTTATTTTGTATACGTAAGTATTTCGCTGGAGTAACCTAATATTCAACATCCAAAACTGACTATGAGGTTTTGTGCCAAAGAAAAGTACTTTTTATAGCAATTTTACTGCCTAAGCCAAAACAGTCTAGAAAGCTTTAAAAGGTAACACAATAAAACAGTACACAATATTAATAATTCTGCTTCACACCCAACCAAGGACTTCCCTCCATTAACAGTATATTTGTGATCAATTTCGTAACAACCTGTCAAAGGAGATATACAACATCTGCCCACTGAGGGATCACTTCAGCATGTCCTGCTCTGCAGCAGAAAACACACGGGAATCACTCAGAACTCTGGATTCCAACAGAGCAGCATTTCCCAGAGAGTAAGCCAGAGGACACCATCCTCTGAGATGCTTTAATCAGGTACATTATTAAACAAATTTGGGAAGAACAGAAAATAGCCTCAAGGCTCCAAGAATCCTTTGGTAAAGACATTTGATCCTGGCTTCTGCAAACCTTGAAATCCCCAGAAAACAAATATCTATTAACATATCACTATACTGGCACTCATAGAACATTTTTGGGAGATATGGCAAAGATTAGGCTGCAGGTGTCAAGGTAAGTAAACTCTTAAAACAATATTGTACAATCTTTTAATTTAAAAATTAAAAGAAAAACAGAAAAAGCAACAGCAAAGATACGTAAATAAATGAAAAATTTAACAAAGATTATTGGGCCGCGTAAGTTGCTCAGACCTGTCGTAATACTTTGTGAGTCTGAGCGGGGTGGATTGCTTTAGCCTGGGAGTTTGAGACCAACATGAGCAACATGGAAAA